TTCGTTCCAATACGCCAATTTTAGGATGAGCAAAGTCCTATTGTAGGATATTCCTACCTTTTGGTTCTCTTATCTGACTTTGCTCGTACTCCCACTCACATGCTTATGGCCATTTGATTACAACAGCATAATTGGTAAAAAATGTTTGTGAGCATTTCATAAAAAAGGTCTCAAAAAGCACAATTTGCACACATTGAATAGAATTGGATCCCTAATGAGAAAATGGGATTACTGTTGGGCGCAAATTTTTTCAATTTCCGGTTTACATGCGCAGAGCTTGCACCCTTCAAATGTTGAAGACAGTGACGGCGCTAGAAGAAGGGTCATCGTAAAGGTCATCGTAAATAAAGTTTCAGTGTCCCTGACCGTAGGACGTGCTGCAAGATGTCTTCATCCCCATCTTTTCGTGCATTCGATTCAATGGAAGGTACGCAAGTACTTTGAACCATTCAGTTTTACGAATGCGTTTGAGAGATATTACGCGCTTTGAATGGATCAGATCCGTCGGTACAAATGACTCTAAACATCGTGGCTAGATCTCTGACGGTCTCAAAATTTAAACTATGTTTTGTAGGAAGCAAGAAGTGAATATGCGTTGAGGCGCCGGTAAAAATAGGTTTTGTTTTCTAATCGTCGGCGTTGACGGAAGACTATGCAGTAAAAGTAGAGAAGTGGATGGGCAAAAAGTAAATCAGATGAAAAATACAATGTTCAGGATGTGCGGTCAGATGACAGGAGAATTAGCAACTCACCTATTCAACAAGTCTTCCCGATATCCATTTGCAGCAGGCCATAAAATGACGGAAAAGCCATCAGATGGGCCAGAAGAAGCCGATGTGGATGGCGAATTCGCCCAGCGCAACATGAGCAACTGAGCACATTCCAGCGAAAGGGCCTTTGCTAAATTACTTGGCTGTACATCTGATAACAGAAAGGTCCCGATAGACTGCCACAAAGTACGATCAAGAGGTTTAAAATTATCCTCGCATTGTGATTCAAAAATGGTTGAAAGCCTTTCTGCGCGAGTCAAATCGTAATTTATAAATCCCTGACATAGAAAATCCAACTGCAAAGAGACAGCGGATTGTGGTCGACTACTTGTTAAGGGAAGAGGGGGTTTGCTGCTGTTTCGCGCATGTGATTCACTTGACGGCGATTGAGAAGGTTTAGGAGAAGTTTCGAAGGGCACAGTGGCGTAGGTTTTACTAATGGTGCTAAAGGTAAAAAGGCTGGGGTCAGCGTAGACGTCGGTTAAAATTGGCAGGTTCTGTAGGCTCGCAGAATTGACCCTCGATTTATGGGTTTGCACACACTGAAAGTATGAATTGGGAAGAGATCCTGTGTCCCTCGGCAAGTCACCATAGGCTGGATTATGAAGGTCTGAGTGGCGTAATTGAGATGGACTTGAGGGCGAATCCGGGGAGGTTTTCGAAACGAGATCACTGATGGAGTTATTAAAGTTGCTTTTGGATGGCTGTTCGTTCATGACGAGATAGCGGATTTGCTTCCTATCTAACTTCGGTTTGCCGACCTCTTGTTTCTTAAGTATTCCGTTCTGTGAAGCAGAACCAGTTGGCAAAACAACATCGGGCTCCTGAAGAGTTACAACAGCATGTTGTTGAATTTGTGAGTTATTTTAATTGTTTTCGAGATAACGGTCCGCATAAACTTTCAAACAGTATGACTTGTTAAATCTAGTGTTTACCCGACTTGAGAACACGAGAAGTTGTCCCGTAAGATAACCCATAAGATCCCATAAAACAGCTAATAAGGTGTTGACACAACAGGCCTGCAAAGTGGAGGTTGCACGTAAGCGGAAGTGGTGGTTACTAAGGCTCCCATTTTATTTTAACAAACGCGTCGATATAAGGGACTGTTCGACTAAAAAAAAGTCCAATTTCAGAATTCCCCTGTAAATATAGAAGTCTCTTCTAAGACTGCATTGTCTGTTTGTGAACATTGAGCGACGAATACAAAAGTTTGTCCAAATTTGAAGTTCTCTCCGCGACCACAAGCCTACGACTCTAAATTTGCGGAGAAACATCTTAACTGCTTTCAATAAAACTCCACCAAAGAGGAATCCTTCTATCGGCGGAAGCAATTAGGCCCTGAGGCAAAAAAAACCTATTTAAACGAGCGGAGACAGGAAAACACCACAATGAAACAGAAACTCCACATGTGAATTTCACTCTACGTTGCTTTTGTTGATTATAAATCGCAAGTATGTGAGCTTCTTGACGACGGTACGAGGTTACGCAACTAAAACTTTAAGGATATCAAGCATATAAGGAACTCACGGTGTTTGAACTTTTGCCTTCACCGTCAGAGATACAGGTAGCGAAGAGTTCCCCTCTCCGAAGTCCACTAAAGTCGACTAAGTGTGTGTGAGACAAGTCCGTTAAATTGTGCAGACTTCGTGCTTCGTTGAAAGCTCTGGTGGCAGGACGACGGCAGAGGCCTTTATTGCATTGAACGTTGTAGGTGCCACCACTGGGGCAGCGGTTGATTGATAAGTCTGAGTCTGACGATCGAAGGTCCCTAGTTTTCGATACTACGGGAATCACCCCATCCGAACTCCGTTCGACTGAAGTCGGTTTCGTTTGAGAGAGCACTGGTGTGAAGAGAATAGCCCCAGATTTCAAGTCGATGGGCAGCTGGTTATCCTTGTAGTAGGAGATGAGCTCGTTAAGTGAGCTGAAATGAGGCCCTCCTAGGCCGTAAGAGGGAGAACTTCCTGGTTGCGCGAGGTTTTTAGATAAGATGGGAACATTGTGAAACTGACCGTTCCACTTAACGCAAAGAAGCATCGAGTCGGGAGACTCAGGCGTATTGTACACAAGAAAAGACCCATCCTTTGTGAGACGCTTTTCAGCAAGTGTACGTGGTAAAAAACCATGATACCATGGTAGAGGGCACATTTGTGGTGTACCGGACGACAAGTTATTTAAAGAGGCGGGAAACGGAGCGGTGTGCAGTGCTTCGTACAGAATCAACTCACGGGCCTAATCCACCTCTGACTGGACGACAGTTCTAGTAGAGAATAAACATCACAAGGTATAGTTATAGAATTATCTGCAATAAATTAAACGCCGTAAAATTTTGGGAAAATAAATCAGTCGGACGACTTTGAGTTGATGGTACACGACAAAAGTGTGATAATAAAATGAGAGAGAGGTCAGCGACGATAAAAGTTCTGAGTTGTTTCTTAGCCAGGAAACGGCAACCCATCAAGAACTAAAAGACCAAACTCGGGGATAGCACATTGACGACAGCAACTTTTAAGAACTACCAACGTATGACGGTTTGGATGGCCATCAAATTCGAAGGGCGAGCAGTCTGACAGTCAACAACGGAGACCACCAATAGAAAGGTGTTCATCGACTTTGCAACAAATGCCTTTGATTGCGGCGACAGTCACAGAGGTTGGATGAGGATCGTAACATTGCAGGATAGTGCTCATGTTCACAGCTCAAATAAAGCATTACTCTAAGCTAGCTTAAGACAAAAATCCAGTTTTTAGACCGCAACCAGCATATCACTCTGCGGTCTGCGATGTATTTTCATTCCCACTAACAGCCCCGAACTCAATCCGACCGAAAGTCCTTTTGCGTTAGCCAAAAGAAATCCGGATAAGGCAATGAAACACGGACTTTGTGTTTAATTATTCTATAGACCAGTCCACTGTAGATGGCTTGGTATTTTATATGTCCCTGCGACATATGGCTATTTTGCGTGCGAAAGGACAATTAACGAAGTATTGTTATGTTGCGTTTGTTGATGTTTTTCATTGTTTTCTCGTAGTATCGTATTTTCCTTCTCTGTCGTCAGTAACATTAGGCCTTAAACAAGTAACCTTTCATAAAGTCGTCATTTGGTTTTATGGCTTTCCATAACATAAGATATTTCTTAGATAATAAAGTAATTTGTAAACCGAATGATGTTCTCTTTTTAACAACAGTCGTTTCTTAAGCGGACTGTACTTTTGTAGATGCAGAATGACCGACCTGTGCGCTATAAGGATTTTTGTGCGAAGTTCGACCATGATCTTCTTTCGATAGGTCGCGAAGTGTACGGCGGTGCCGTGACTGTTTTGTATTTAATAGGCTACTTGCCACTGTGACCTGCGGCCAAAAAACTGAGTTTCCAATTTCAAAATGTTAACGACCCTGCCAGCACCAGCCCCCTCTGGCCCCCGAATGGCCCCGCCTCATGCGGGGGCTATGGCGGGGCCAGAGGGGGCTACGAGGGGGCTGGAGAGGGGGCTATGGCGGGGCAAATCCCCGATGTGCCCCCCCCCCCCCATAGAAAAAAAATGCGCAGGAGGACACCTTATAATTGTCGTTTTTGCCCCTAACTCTGGCCATATTAGACTGTCTGACGGTAATGCGGATCCCTGAAGCCACAATCGATTGTGGCTTATAGAAATCAAGACGGTGCAGGAGAAAAGGCCGAACGGTGTACGAGTTTGCAAACAAACTAAGGTCCGAACCTAGCCCGTGATTATTTTATCTACATGGACATTAACTTTTGTTTAAATCCTACATGGAAGAATGGAAAGTCGGACAAAACGTGGTGACTGGAACGCTTACGTCTCAAGAGCCTGGCATTTTGACTTTTTCGCCCGAAATACAGTCTAGCAAAATTCGGGACTTTCCACAGGAGAGTGTGGTGCTCGAGATTAATGCGTTAATCTTTCGAGGCCAACATTGCAGAATGACATCAACATTTCCGAGAACGCGCCGAATAAAATAATGGATTCCTATACTGTGGGAACATGCCACCAATCTTGTGACAAGTTTAGCACCATCAGTAAATGCCAGTGCCTTCGTCCTGCATGTCTCAACGTGGTTGTTCACCTACAGATTATTAAGTGATTCTGTTGCTAAGGATAACAAAGTATGCCTCCCTTATCCTGAGATTTGACTCGAAGAACTCTGATCAACTCTTTACATTTCCGTAAGTGTCTGAAATTTCATTAATTCCAAGCTTCGCCAAAGCGTTTATATTAAGCCGTACGATAACCCTCAACATAAAACTTAGGTTTGAAGCAAGAGATAAAAGGAGACACCCATCCCCAAATCTAGACTTACAGTCTAACCGCGGCCCCACTGTCAACCGCTCACGCAAGACTTAGTCAATTGTCAACCATGACGTCGTAATCCTAAGCTTAACACTTGCAGTTAGCCCCAGCCTCTAATGCTGACCCCCCACCCCCCAAATCACTCTCCCTGAACCAAATCTGCGGTTGTATTTGTAACTTAAATCTTTAATGCTCAATGGCATACCCAAATATTAACTTTGACTCCCCCCGCCGCTATTCTTCCAGTCTCTAACATTACCCCTACCCTGCTAATAACATAGCCACCTCCTATGGATAAAGTTGAAATTTAATTTCTGACGTAAATATTCGAAAATTTTGTGAGTTTTCTGCATTATCGTTGGTATGGATAGGTTTCTTTTGTAGATCTTCTCTTAGGAGCAATTTTGCAAGCCGAATACTCACTGCTACTTGTTTTCGGACGATTGGAGTGAATTGGTACATCTGTTGGAATGCCGTTAGTTACCTACGCCGTATGGACAGGTCGGAAAAACAAGGCCAGCATGTGGGATTTCGACGAACGTCCAACCACAACATAGTCCTCTGAAAACAGATAACGGGAGGCAGTTTACTTGTACAATTACTGTTATGGGCTGATTCGCTGTGTGTGCACTTCCAAAATTTTAGTATTGCTGAATTACCGGGCTAAAAAATAAATGAATAACGACCCTTGGACTGTACATGGTCCCTGTGACACCATTTTGGTCCCATTCCTTTGACGGGGATGTGCTATCGGAGTAATTGCAACCACTAGAGCTAAAACTTAATTCTAGGCCAAACTCAAAACACCAACATACTGTCAGAAACTTGAGCCAAATTCTACTGCTCACTCCCAAACCATTGACGCCTATTCTGTTATATTTAATTCAGACCAAGACTCGTCGCAATTTAATTTAATTTAATTTATTATTTAATGTCAATTTACAGGCATTGACAAGGGAGGCGATTAAACACAAATCCGATCAGCAGTGAAAAAAACTCCTGAAGATTAAGCATAAAGTTGATGGTGGTTTTTATGGTTTGGAGGGTTCAGGAGAAAAAAACTGCTGGCGGTAGATTTTCGACCGTCAAGAATGGGGGGAGGGGGTTGCACGGTATCGGAGATTATCGGACGTCAATTCCTTTCATGAAGTTGGGGATAGTCAAAGAAGAGGCGTTGAGGAACAGCTGGTGAGACCGGCCATAGCGTTCAGAGACCACAAACGCCATCGCTACGGTAGAGTCGATCAGTGGATTCAGAACCCAAAATTTGAGGAAGCTTTTCTGAATGCAAAAATCGAGTAATAGTTCACTTAAATAAAGGATAATTTTGCAGAGTTTTCAAAATCAGCTCACTCTTAATGTCAAACCTATAACTGAGGTAAAGCCGGAAAGCTAGACGCCAACTCTTAGTCCTGAGCTGGAGGGCTCACTATATCCCACCTGCTGACTAATAACCTATATTACTAAGTACGGCATATTTTATAGGATTCGACAGGTCTTTGTGACTCAGTCTCAACGCACAGCGTTAGCCGCTTGTTTGTATCCTAAATCCTTGGTCTAAACCCCCCCTTTTCACAATTAAATCTATCCGCAGCCCTTCAACTAATGATAACAGTAAACCCATGATTCTGCATCGAAGTCTAAACCAGGGTTTAGCATTAGCCCCTAACTCCTGAGCCATAAGTATGCCCCTAATCGTATTACCTAACAAATCGCCTAGAACTAAGCCTGCCTTACATCACTAGCCCCCACGCACACGCCCATGCCCACATATCAACCCTCAGTCCCACTGTAATGAGCGAACGGACAGCGCACCGTACCAACAAAAAATGCTAAAAGCTAAAGGAAGGCTCATTTGGGACTGGACCAGGCAACGGAGAACCAGACCACGCACTCCACGAGAATACCGGAATTCTCCACCGTTCAATCAGAGTCGTTCTCTGTAACCTCATCCGGCACTGGTTCCTGAGTCTCTACAATGGATTACATCAGGTACAATCAGGGAGAGTAAGTCATAGCAAGGGAGCGGTCTACAGTAGCTTTTCATCACACTAATTGCAAGGTCAGGCCCCAAAATTAGAGCCCATTTGTGAACCTAATCCTCATGCTCAAGCCCAACTCTCTTTCCTAGTCTTATCTTCTAAAGCCGTAGATAATACACAGGGGAAAAATCGGCCAGATATGTTGACCCTTATGCATCAACCGTTCACTTTACCCGCCACCCATTCTTTCTTAGATTGTTTTTTTTTTAATAATCTAACCAGTTATATCCTTTCTAGTTTAGTTATAACATCTTCTATAGGTACATTTTGCAAGCCAGTCACCTGAGAAGGCAGATAAAGGAAGATAAAAAAAAGACCGTTAGAACGGAGTTTTCCTAGTAATTTCGTTGACAGTAGCAAAAAACTGGATGCATAGATGAAGGACTGCTAAAAGTCAATTCATTACGGTCTACCTGGTGGTACATAAAAGAGGGGAGACTTCAAGAACTGCCTGGGCTCTCATTTAATTTGACGGATTGATTCTCAGTAAACACCAATTTTAGTTATCGTTCGGCCGGACAGTCCTAAACAATTTGTAATGAGATTGTATTGGCAGAGATGGCAATGCCTCATTTATTCCTGTTTGAGTTGTCAACAAATACCGGGTGCTTGCCTTTGCCGTGAAAGGGAAATGGTTGCAAGCACCTTGAAGCCAGTCAGCTTGACTTATCTTTCTTGTAAAACCATGGAAATCCTTGTAAGGCAGGCTTTAGTGCATTTTTTGTGATGAAAATGGCATCATGCAGAATATTTAGCATGATTCTTAGCAAGAAAGTTCCTGCTTCTTGAATTCGTTGACTTTGAAGGAGGTCTTGACTAGTGCTCTGGAAAAAGACTCCGAAGTACCTGTAGTGTACAACGATTTTGGAAAGTCTTAATAATGCCTCATATCAACATCTCCTCCGCGAATTAGGCGCTCTTTACATCAGTGTTAAGCTTTTGATCTGGATAAGGACATTTCTGTTTGGTGGAAAACTACGCGTGTGTATCAGAGACAGTAAATCAGGCTGGGTGAACGTGACTTATGTTGTTCCTCGAAGTTTTTCTAGGACACTATTTTCGAATTCACTGTGTCAATGAAAGCCCCCAGGAACTTGACTGCGGTAATGACCTAAAAGCCTTTCAGAGCAATCTGCACCGAGTGCAAACCTGGTCCAAGAGATAACTTTTAGAATTAAGGGTGCAACCGTGTGCCGCCCTCCATCGGTGTCCAATCAACTGCCGCTGAAACTACCGTGTGATAACATAGTAACCGAAAGACACTCAAATTATCATAGAATCATCGCTGAAGAATATCGGTGCCTGGACATAGGAGAGTCTGCAACCTTCATCGAGATGTATCAAATGGGCAAAACACCATGGGAGTGCCGGGATGGTATGTTCGACAAGACGGAGGTTCCAGTATCAGAAGTCAGGAAAGACGGATTGGGTTGGATAACTTTTACTACTGAGGAAGTGCGTACACAAAGGCTCTGCAAGTAGTCGCAGCGAGAGGTCTCACCAAGTAAGTTGTTTTTGTTTCGTGTCCGCCGTTGAGGTGCTTAGATCCCGGCGCGTGTGCGCCTTTCGCTCTGTCTCAGTGTCGCCAGTCAATCAAAGAATGGACAGCGTTGCTTGGCCTCGAGCGCTCGCGAAGCTAGGAACGAGCTCTAACGGACAATTGCGGGCCAAATTCCTCTCCCAACGGCTGGTTGAGGGATGGAACAAATTGCCGAACTCTGTTGTCTTAGCGGAAAACGTATAAACTTTCAAAACAAGACTGGATAAATTTATGCTTGATGGTCAAACATTTACATGATATCAATGACTGGTATAACTGCTATGTAAATATCTGCATGTTTTTTCATACGCCTAATTGTAAATAGGGTTTTCTAAGGCTCTGACTCTATCCGTCATATATACTGAATTATAAACGGCGATTTTTCGTTCCGGTTTTCCTTTCAGAATCCGTGATTACGTGGGCAAAAACTAACGCTTCTCACCACGACCTTCCGATTAGTCCCCATTCTCGTTTATCCTCTTACGATCTAACTATTCCTGTACTTTTGTTCCTATTTTGCTTATCATGACGTTTATTTTACGTAGAGAAACGTTTTTCCTATTGTTGCATTGAGTCTAGCACATAATACTGAGTTGTTAGCGTTTGCATATCTCGTTGCCTACTATCAGAGTAAGATCCACCTGAGTTTTATTTTCCCCTCTATTTTCTTTACGTTTCGGTACAAAATCATTTTCTATCTATTCGTTTATTACGACATCTACACCGCCCCTGTCCCTTGCCTGTGTAAATGAAGACATAACGCAACTTCTAAATGTAATATCTTTAGCACCCGTTGGAGCCAAAACCCCCTACCGCAGTATTTCAAGACTACAAGCCTCAACAAACGCTGCACGACGCGGCGTCTACAAAGCCTTGTGGCCAGCAGCAGCGAACCGACAGAGAATGTGAGGCGAACAGGAGGGCAGCGTGACAAAACGATGGAGAGCTAGAAGGCGCGGATTGCTACAGGAGTACTGTGCGCTGCAAAATGGACGTTTGAAACATTGCTTTCTGTGAATAAATTCATGCAGAGCAAAGGCGGCGAATCATACAGAACTCATTTACATCAAAGAATTTCGTGACCTCTTCTTCCGATTGCCGATTAGGCGATTAAGATGGAAGAGGCCCCCCAGCGGTCCCAGCGACCTCTCATCTGAAAACCATTAGAAACAAAAAACAAATTTATTGAAAGATCTTAAGGAGGAAAGTTAAGTCGTCATCTAAAGACTAAATAGTGGACTAGAAAATGGCTGATTATCGTAGGTCCATATGTTCCCTTTTCCCATACCATACGGTCTACCAAAATTACAAAATGGGGAATTGACCCCAGCGTAAACGCGCCAAGTGGTTAGTTGAATAAGTTGAACGACTCAGACACAGTCCTGCTGCCTAAATCAGATATCTTCTAATTCTTCGATGAACTGACGGATTCTAATTTACTAAACAAACACATGATACCGATTTGCGTTCGGAGCCTGTTTACTAACGTGCCGCTGAGTGAACCTGTTGTCATAATTTGGGAACACTTGACTTAACAATGCCTGTAGCCAGGGCGATTGCGGGAGCCACTGAATACATGGATTACGAACGTACAGTTCTTGTTCAGTGACATTTGTGTCAAAAATCGACGGCGTAGCTCAGAGCAGTCCATTGGGGCCCGCCTTAGCGGACACCCTCATACAAAACTTGACCGAAAATTAGCCCAACACGTACAGAGAGTCGTACTCTATAGACGTTATGTAGATAACATTCTTGCTCTAGTCAATAGCCCAAAAGACGGGGAATTACTGCTGGACTCGGGCATCCTTGTACCCATCCTCAAGTGCGGAGATTACTGAACATGCCATATACAAAGGTGAAATTCACGATCCGAAAAGAGAAAAATGACATACTGCCCGTGTTAGACCTCCTTATATGCAGGCGTACAGACGGCTGAATCTAGAGATTCGTCTACTGAAAAATCAACTGGTAGGGACAGTATATGCACTTTTGTTAGTTTCTTCCCACTTCGAAGAAAACAAAATTTGGTTCTATGCCTGTTCAACAGAGTCACTAGGATCTGTCTCTCAGATATGATCCATGAAAAGGTCCTATTCCTGAAGGACGCTTATTCGTAAACGGACACCCGGAGAAATTCATCAATAAGTGTCGCCATTCCAGACAAAACAGTCCAGAATAAATGTTCGCATCAAGAGTGCAAAAGTATTAAACGGGACCAAAACGACGGCTTCCATGTACAATTGAACGGACGCATGCCGCCTCTAACTAGTTGTTCATGTGCACTTCAACGGCTTTTCCAGTAATACCAATTAAAGACATCCTGCCTATGCACGTTTTATAAAACCGTGTCTATGAATTAACATGTAATCGCGAATGTAAATACACTGGACGCACAGAAAGGTACTTAGCGATTCAGTCAGCTGAACTTATGCCAACATGGCTACAGAGGGCGGAAAATGAGGTACCTAAGAGTTTAATTGTTAAACGACTGGTAGAAACTGGCCATGCGGGAAGTTCAACAATCATATTTAAGGTTCTATTTCGTACGACAACCGGACGTCTTTGGTGCTTTGCAGAAGTCACTGCATTATGAAGGAAAGAGACAGGACTGTGTAAGCAGCTGGACCACGTGATCAACTTGGCACTGCAGCGGTAAGGATCAATGACACAAATAACCCTATTCTCTCTCCCTTCTCCACTTCCTCGCCCGACATAACTGATTACTGTCCCGTGATGAGCGGTTGTAATCAGGCTTGAGGGGTCCTAGCTGTAACCTGAAATCGCCGACCTAGACAACTTCCCTCTTCCTCGCCATGCCCACTCGCTTGTTAGATCAGACTTCCATGCTTTTATTTCCCTACCACGTTTCATCCCTTTAGGCAATTTTCTAGCGGAACATCTTGTCTTGTTAATATGTACAGACCTCATGCAGTTGAAGAAGAGGTCACTAAATTTTATGACGCCAACAAATCATGCTTGTATGTACCTGTAATACTTGTACTTGGTACTACTGCGATCACACCCGATCTAGCTGGCCTCTATGATGTCCCGAACTGTACGTCTCCATGCGTGACGGTCCACGGCAGCAGATCCAGGCAGTTCAAATCATTCTCTTTGCCAACGACGGAGACCGAATACCGAAGGTCCAAGAACCACCTCCATGTCATGACGAACTGTGTCGAGCCAGGTTTAGAGTTGACCCCCTCGTCGAAGCCTCCAATGGGGTAAAGGTGCCGGATCGAGGGCAGTAACACTGAGCTCCAAGGGTGGACGACGAAGAACATGCACGAACCACCTCAGTCACCTTTAATGATGGCCTAAATAGTGCTCGCGATATTGTCGTTGCGAGTGAGGACTGTCTCATTTGAGAATAAGTCGGTGTACTTCAATCTAAGGATGGTCCTCGAGCAGTGGCGGTCAAATACCTCCAGTTTCCGTCCTCCACGAGCAGAGCCCAGAATTCACAACCACAAAGAAGGACAGACCGGACAGACGCACGGTACACACGAATCTTAGTTGCGATGGAGAGTTCGCGTCGGGTCCATGGACATTTTCTAGAGATTAATAAAACCCCTCGGACTGCATCCATTCCGGAGACAATGTCATCCTTACTCTGGCCATTCGGCAGCAGTCTCGCCTAGAGATATTTAAAACTGCTTACTTCTTCAAGTCGACAGCAATCCATCTCGAGAGATGCCCACGTCTGGTCAGGAATACAGCTAAAAAACTTTAGTCCTCTCAACGTTTATCGATGAACCGACCGATTGAGGATCCTGTTCACCCGTGACAGCATAGACTGCAGATCACGAAAACTTGAGACAAGTAAGGCGATATCATCTGCATATTCGGGATCAGTCAGCTGGCTGCCAGGGGCAAACTCAACAATATCTCCGTCCTGTAGAGCCCTCCCGATAATCCAGTCAATAGAGTAGTTGAGCAGAATGGGTGACAGGAAACAACCCTGTTGAACGCAAGACCGAATACCAAACGGTTAGGAAAGATTGTTGTGGGCCAGAACTTAAGAGGTGGTGGAACAATAAAAGACGATAATTTTTGGTGGCTCACTATCTAGTGTCATCATCCGCCACAGGGACTTACGATGGACGGAGTTGAACGCAACGTCAAAGTCAACAATGCAGACGGTCATCGGTTACTGGTAGCCATGACGAAATTCGAGAATGCGCCTAACTGTGAATACCTGGTTCGCACATCCCCGTCCAGCACGAAATCCGGCTCGGTTGGGTCTCGTCCTAGAATCACACACAGTCGGGAATCGCCTGAGAAGGACAGTAGCGGACACCTTCGCAACAAAGTTGATGAGGCCTGTGTCGCGGTAGTTCTCACATCTTGTCTTATCTCCATTCTTAAGGATAGATAATAGGATGCCTTAACTCCAGTCATCAGGAACAACCTCGTCTGTCCATGCTTGTTCAATTACCTCTTGGAGCCAGAGCGCCTGTGTCAAATTAAGACTTGCAGATCATAGCAGGTGTACCGTCCTCACCGGATGACTTGTTGTTGAGCAGCCTTCGTATGGCATTGGCGACTTTTCCTTCAGAAGGGGGTCGCATGACACTGCATAGTTTGGAAAGGGAAGAGATTCCGCTGCAGACGGGACCAAGGTCGTGGTGGGTTGGGTACTGAAATAGACATGGTGCTCGAAGTGCTCACGCCAGCGCTCGAATTTGACCTAGTTGTCAGCAGTAAATCCGTCATTCACGCCGCCAACAAAGAACATCAGTGCGCAGGGCTTACTACTAACCTGGCGAATAAGTTGGGAGAGTTCTCGAACGTTACCAACCTTCGAGGCTGTTCCACGAAGGTCGCTATTTTAGCCCAATATTGCTTCCCGTCATCCCTGGCCGACTTTGACGTCATCTTCCGAAGTTGACGGAAGGAATCATCTTAACGGGACCTGGCTCGAGCCGTCTGAGCAGAAAACTGTACGGTTCGACCGCTGATCCAGTCACTACAGCGTTGCTGGGTATATCCAAAGATTTTCTCAGCTGCCCCATAGATCGACGTTTTCAGTGACGACCACTGGTTACTGCCTTCTCCGTCGGCTCGGGTAGTAAAACAGAACCGGATTTCTCTGCCCAGGGCCTCGACAGTGCTGCTTTGCTGGACTTTTGTGACATCGAGGAGTCTGGAACGTGGTATTTTTGGCGCGGATGAGAGATGAACGTGTGAGGTAAGGTGGTAAGGAAGTAAACATATACGAACGTGGACATGGTCCGACCCATGGGCGTTACCAGTCTCGGCACCACGCATCAAACTACTATCGTGAGAGGTAATGGACCTTAATCTGCCGGTTAATAGATGATCTTGGATAAGAACTGAGCTTTGAGGACATATTTCAGTGGCACCTTCCGCCTCATCTTAGCGGTCACCCAAGAAACCTGCGCGCGAGTGTTGAAGCCGAAAATTCGCTCTAGACTTTTCACTCAACGAACAGAAGAACGATGGAGCGATAATAATTTGCTAATAGAAGAGGAGAGGCGAGTCCCAAAAGATAGTCGCAAAGAAGATGACACGATCGCTGAACCAAGATCTTTATTAACCAGGCGTTTCGGATTCACACTCGAGTCCATCATCAAAGACAGATTCAGAAGGGATGGTAAATTATCCAGGTGTTGCAGTATTTATAGGATGTAGTTGCTAGACCGCTACATGCTTAACACAGTTGGCACCTACCAAACGCATCACGGTCCGATAGGCTAGGTGTTGAATTATGCGGTTGCCATTCAGTTGCTTGCGCCTGTGTGGCTGGCTGCCAGATTCTGTCATCCTCGGGGACTCCTGGGCAATTTCGCTCGCCGACATTGACATCACGAACAGTTGTCATCCGCACGCTCTCCTCGCGGTCAACTACTGCCTAGGCAAAGTCTAAGCGCTTATATGGAGTGATGAGGTCGTTGGGCTTATCGACTGTTTGGAGAACGGAAGGCCATGGCTCGAGTAGTCCGCGGCTCACACGGCTTTCTTCTCAAGCAAGATCTTCTGCTTCGTCAAACTTGAGTGTGTGGTTAGGTTATGTCGAATAAGCCGTGACTTAGGAGTTGGCGTCGTTCCTTCCCGCTGCTGCTGCGTGCTTGGTCATCCGCGTCCGGATTAGTCTTTTGGTTTCTCTAACGTAGTTGTTTTACCCAAAACTGCACCAGGCCCTGTCAACGACTCCAGATGTTTCTTGCTATGACAACGAGTCTTTCGCCTTATGATCTAGCGCCTGGCGGTTTTTTCGGTTCTGTGTGCAACCCCAATTCCAAGGGGTGTAAGAAGGCGGCTGACGGCTTCCGAGACATTCTTCGCGTACGGAAGAGCTCAGTAAAATTGGGGGCAGTTGGATTTCGTCTATCGCCTCGTTTACGCAGGCACTGGTAGACGAATTTGCGCGGGTAGCCATTCGCTCTAAGCGTTCGTCGAAGGTATCGTAACTCAACAGCCTTGTCTTCCGGTTCACTGTATTGTGTCTCCACACGCTGTCATAGCGCCCTTACTCAACTACGTTTTTGACTAATTGAGTGATTGCTGTCGCAGCTCTGTACCCCAGTCATGTTCGCGCTTTCCGGGATGCTTTGTTTGGTAGGCCACCACAATCTTTGCGGCAGACGAGGACATCAATAAGGGCCAGCTACCTGGTATCCTCTTTCTCCATCGTAAACTGTGTGTCCGAGAAGACTGCCTGGAAGTGTTCTGTAAATTCCAGCACTTGAACCCGTCCGATGACAACAAAGGTATCATCCACATACCGAGCCCACAATTTCGGTATATGATGTCGAAAAACCAGCGACTCCAACCGTTGCAGGATCGCCTCGGTTATGAGTCCTGAAATCAGTGAACCCATTGGCGTGCCCTTCACCCACTCGTAGATTGTTTCGTTAGATGTAAAGTATGCCTTTAGACATAATTTCAGGAGTTTGAGGATTTGAGTGTGTTCAAGGCGGTACCTCTTTTCATCAGATTTGTCTCGTGGAGTAGTTCGATGGTCTCGACTGTCAGGTCCTGTGGAACAGAAGTAGAAAGGGACGTGATATCACAAGTAACCATGACGCCGCTTGGGAGGAGACTAACCCCTTTAAGTTTCTCCAAGAATTGTGTTGACGTACTGACCGTAGTGTCTGAATTTGCGGTCAGAAATTTGAGACGCCAAAACAGCCATTCCACCAGTACGTAAGCTGGAATGCCTTTGAGTGAGACGAGGGTCCGGAGGTGAACATTCAACTTAGTGCACATTGGGAAGGCCATAGAAGCGGGCCAAGATCGTGTCCTGGGCTTCCGTCATGCGTCGGTCAACCGGTGATGTTGGGCCGGAGTTTTCTAATGCGAAACGCATTGTACTGATTTCTCGTGTCGGTGTTTTTACGGGGTTGGTTGTGCAAGGGGGATAGGCCTGACGGTCCCCTAGTAACCGTTTGACCTTCTGACAGTAGTCAGTCCAGTCCAAAACAACCGTCGAAAGTCCCTTGTCCGTAGGGACGACAACGAGGTCTTTGTCGGCCTTAGGTTCCTTTATTGCGTCACGTTCAAACTTGGACAGCACTTTGCGCGGCCTGTGAGCCATGAGGAGAGACGACACTTGGTATCGGATAAGGTTCTTAGACTCATCCGTCGCCTCTGTCTGACTGAGGATCGATTTCACCACTGCAGTCACGTTGACAGGTTTGGCGTCAGCTGTGTCGAATAAGGTTTCATGTCGCAACACCTGCATTTGATCCCTCGTCAACACCTTTGACAACAGGTTGCCCGAAAACGACAAACTAGCGCACAGAAGCGCAATCCAATTTTTTGATGCAACTGTCGATGCAATTTAATCGCGGGATCTGAGCAACGTCACACAACAGCCGGAGTGAAGTTTCTCCTCTATTAAGTAGGCCCGGTCACTGGCACTAGCAGTTGCACACCTTCACCCAAGTCAGATTGCCGAACGCAATGATCTTCTTCTAACAAAACCGGACAAGACATGCTTGAAAAAGTATTTCCTTGTTGTTGGTGACTTAAAGCTCCTAATATCAACTTCTATGCTTGGACTCTTTTGGGTCTACTGCATACATTTTGCCATCACTTTTTCCAAATGGCAACACAAAAAAGCTGCTTTTATAGAATGCACCATTTGGAACACGTGTTAGGGAAGGACAACGTCCACATTGCCTAGACCTGGTGCTCACTTGAGGTGAGGAAAGGGTAATTGGTATACAAGATCTACCGTTAAGAAATGTTAATGATCATATTGTGGTGCCCTTCGACTTTTCCATATTCTCCCAGTCTGACTTGCCCAAACAATTGAAAAATCGCCTGAAAGGGAATTTCTTCCAAAATACGAACTCAGGTCTCAGTACCACTGGGACCAACTCCACTACGAAAAACAACTAACAAATACTGGAGCACGTTCGGCTCGATGATTAAAAGAACCACTGATCTAAACCGTTCACGCAGATGGAAGGAAACAAACAACTGCCCACCGTGAATGAAGTGGGGACTTCGGGTCGCCTTCAAGAGGAGGGATAAAATTTGGAGGCGCTTCCGACCAACGGGGAGCTCCGAACGGTTGCGAGAATACAAATGACAGCAGGATGTGCGTAAACGTAAGGTCAATAGACTTCAAAGAACCTATGAACCAAGCATGCTGCAGAACTCGTTAAGGTATTCCAAGATCCTACATGGTTGCATACGTAGTGGCAGAAGTAACCGTAGAGCGATTTCGGCGCTGAGGTCCCAAAATGAAGTAATGAGGACGGATGACCGAACGAAAGTATCTGTTCTCTGTATTTTATTTAGTCAGAATACACTTATGAAAGAGATCCCCTTGCCCACCCGGAACAGTAACAGGACACTGCATGGTTTGCATTAGAAGAGCATCCATACTTTTCGTCTACGCCGATTATAATAATAATAATAACTGTATTTTACGTCAGTTTACAAGCATCGTATAAGAAAGGCAAAGCACGGATCGGGCTAACAGTGATAACCGCCCCCCCCCCGCAAGTAAAGAAGATAGTGCTTTCGATAGTTCGGATGGCTTAAAAACTACAGCACATGAAATGGCGTCAGTTCAGAAATGAATGGTTAACACTGCATCAGATATTTTCAGTCTCTATTCCTTTTCATAATATTCGGACTGCACCACACAGGGTGCATGAAAGGACGTTTGCACGCTGTCGGCTGATGAAATTGTCCGAAATGTTGCAGGCTGCAGAGTCAGCATCATTTCCTACCGAATGAAACCGGGTAGGGGGATCAGAGATAACGAAATAACTCACTACGAAAGATCAGTTCGGTGGATCCAAAAACTAAAATTGTGCAAGTTTTCTAAAATGCAGACAATGCGTGATAGTTCTCCTAAACAAATGATAATTTTGCAGGATTTTTACATTCCTGGGTGATTTGTTCCGAGTTGAAATTGCAGTCACAGAAAATAAACGACGATATTTAATGGCACGCGCCAGAGGAAGAAATAAAAAGATCTCACGGTTACTATTACGTCGCGGGTGATCAAGATGTTCTAAGATATTAAGCGGGCTAAAAGTACGATTGTTTAAAAGCTTAAACAGTAAAACTAGTCCCCGAATGCAACCATCTAAACTACAAGGGATTAAGACCAGTAAGCCCGCAACGTTCCTGGAAGGTCAAATACTGACGGTCAAAAACTGAAGCGTTGGACGGATTCTATTTTCTTCCGCACAGCAGCACGCATGAGGCTAAATAAAAACGAATAGTATCCCAGGCCAGGTCTGACGTACATTTATAAAGGCGCATTCTAATATCGCTAGCTTTGACATTTCGGTGATAGTCCCGTTGTTCTGCGTGCTTTGGAGACTGTCAGGGCACAGTGTTCGAACGATTAAGACTCTTGGAGTATGATATACCCAGTTCCTTAACAACTTTAGGCACATTTGTGTCGTGACCGTCAGTACCTACTTGAGTCTGGTGGTCGTCGCCAACCACCATATCTGAGCATCTATGCCAAGAAGGATAAAGGCGCCACGCACAGCACCACCGGACAAAGGCCTGTAGGTCGCTCTTTAAGAGTCTGAGAATGATGTCGCGATCTGCCGACTCATACCGATGTGCAAATTCCAGACCATCAGCATGCATGAAGGGCTTACCATGCTGAAATAAATCAGGTACATCAAAAAAGCAAAATAATAGTGGGCCAAGTACACTACTCTGAATTACTCCAATCCTCACGCATGTGGATTTGGGATTAACAATGGAAATCGAAACCGCTGTGTGCGAGAGCCCAGGTAAGATGATGTAGATTTCAGGTTACAACCTATTCCAAAAGAGGAATTTCAAGAGAAGAAGAGAATGGTCTACACGATCAAAAGCCTTCATGAAATCGAAATAGACTGTGTAAAGTGCAGAACTATTGTCTCTAGATTGGAGAACATGATGAAAGACAGAGAGCTGGTATGTGTCACAATGCCGAGCTCTGAGAAATCCGTGCTGAGTAGGTCATTCTCTGTTAAGTGGCACATCATCGTATCTTTGATCAATGTCTGTAAGATCTTCGAAACTGCCGGGGAAGGGGTGTGTATATTGGTCGAAAGTCGTCAAATGACGTGGAGTGGCCGTGTTTGAGGATAGGCAAAATGTGTGATTCCTTCCACAAAGTAGGATAAGTTTCACTTCCAAGAACGAGATTAAATATCTTGCACAGGAGCGACGGGAAAATTTCTTTTGCATTCGCTTTCAAAATGATCTCGTCAACCAGTTGTGGGGTGAAATACTTACAGCTCCTGAAGAATCGCCTGGATAACTATACGTGTGTCTTGTTTTGGCTAGTCTGAACCCGAACTAAATACCAAATCAACCCCAGACAGGAGTTCGTCCAAAAAACAGTGTTACTGAAATTTAGTGAATACCATTTTTATACTGACCGTATGTCAGAATATTGTACAGTTGTATATAACGTACCGACACGTAAACAATAGGGTTTTCAAGGGCTTTGCCTGTGACCCTCACCAAAATGAATGCATATAAATGGTTTCGAAAATGTCCAGCTGCCTTTTCTGATGCCTTGTGATGGTCGACTCGAGTGAGACTAGGCTGACTTCCTCTAAAGTACCCATTTCACGAAAACGTTTGCATAGCATGTAGTCACCTGATAAAAAACTAACCTTTTGTCACCCCGCATATTTATGTATTCCAGAGACCGTTCTTCACATTTTTCGCCTTAAATTGACAAGTACTAATTCGACTATCAAATAGTGAAGAACACATGCGCATGACGAGGTCACCAAAGCACAGAACTTTAGAAGTCCAAATGATAGGTCTAGTAAAAAAATGAGAAGTCTATCTACCTATTTTGACAGTCTCCGTCCGCTAAGCATGTATTCAGCTCCTTAATAATTTTCTGTCATAGTAAAACTGACCTACCGGGGTTTTCAGAGGCCTCTTTGGGGTCATGGCTGAGGTTGTCAGCTGGCGCACCCTTAGTGTCCGCAGTGTTCGTACGCACGCATTCTACGGCCTATATCTCTTCATTTAATGGAGTTACCTCCTTGAGGGAACTTCAGTATCGAGGCAACTTACATACAGATTATGCCACATTTCCATCGGTCGTGAAGATGACAAGGACACAGTGAAATCTGAAGGCGCAATAGTAGCTAGTACAAGGTCTAATCATCGTATCGGGAAAGGTCTGCAGTTGGTTGTGTGTTTGCGGACTAGTTCGCGTTCGTGTCAGCTGCCCTCAAATACCGAAATTTAGGACTAACTGTGCGCTACTAACTTAATGCCAATAAAGGGGTAATGGTCATGCTCAGAATGATGCTACCTTTTTCAAGATTGGAAGTTGCCTTTTAACCCGTAATGATGTCAACAAACCTAAAGGGGAAAATGTAATCAGTAATCTATGATCGTCCAAATTCTACATAATAATTTACTTTCAATGTCCGCACTCCACTCGAGGTTGCACGGCTGCAGCCTTTATCACCATTGCTAGCGCAAACGAGTTGACAGTAGTTGGCCTTCTGTACGGGAGCGCTGCTCGGCGCTCAAATGAGATCCGGTCGCAGCCAGTTAATAACTTCCATTAAAGTATAATGGCCAGTGAATTGAAGAAATGCGTACTTGTAAAAATTGGAAGAGAAGGACGAAAAGCTGATTGTGCTACCATGTTCAGTTTTGAGTAACCTTAGAAAGAATACTTGCCGCGAATAATCGAAGTAAGCAAGGATGCTACTGAAATCACAGTAGACTATGCGAGCACGCCCGCAGGGACAGCAAAGTACGTTCTTGGCGTATGCTAGCCTACAGTCAGTGAAAATGCACCTATTGGCCTGTGTGTTGTCAGCGCAAAGGCATACAATTCTTACACACTTATATTGCTAGTTAATTTCGTTGTGCACAGCCCGTTGTCGAGAGTGTTATATACGAAGTAGCTTAGTTGTCGGTTATCTATTTGGCGTGTAGTGCAACATCAATGTCTCTCAAATGTCTAGTTATCTGCTGCCGAGGTCCCGATTGACTTCTTGTTAATTTCTTCAACCTGTCTAGATAGCTTCCAAAGAGAAAGGACAAGAAGAATTCAAGTGGGCTGTGACGCTTCACTCTATTTGCAATGTACATAATGTCGTGCACAATGCGTGCGGTGCGTTCCTTGTCGTATAGGAGTGAGAATGTGGAGGTAAAGGTTTCAAGTACTGTTTGCAGTAAACAGTACTGTAGCTGAAAGTTTGGGGACACGCGAGTAATTGAAGAGTCATA